CAGCAGGATTGAGTTCTGCCTTCCTCAATTCTTAAAATGTTACATCAATGTTTTATATTAGTACCAATGTATAGAAGCCATGCAGGTTTTTTTTAATAGAAACTCAGATTTGTGCCACAATGATTCATCAAGCTCGGCAATATCTCTAAAACCTGAACATGTTTTTGGAGATGTGAATGGCAAATACAAACTCAAAGGCTGATTCTCACTGAAGGCCGATTTGTCTTTACATGTTTGCTTCCTTTGTTTATCTTGAACCTTACTGTGCAAGACAGATGCTGGGCTATTGTTTGTATGCTAGTATATAATATTAGCTCCTTGGTCCTAAATGTTACATTTCTGAGAGGTTCTTTTAATTCTGTATAGCCAAATTTTTTAACAAGTCCAGGAAAAAGATGGCTTCTTAGCAAAGCAATTTTTCCGTGCTTCTACAGACCCTTCTTTGTTATACAACATGTATGTGAAAGAGGCTGGTAGTGAAAAATGAGAACAATTATCTAATGTCATAATGAAATTAGTTATATATCTTGTGATTATAGAGATAAACATGTTCATGATCATTTTGAAATAATTATGTTTGGAAGACAACAAGAGAAAATATTCTGAAAAGAGATTAAAAGTTCTTTGATATATGTTTCAGATAGTCTTCAGCAAAACTTAAATACCTACGATCATCTAGCAAAACTCTGTCACTGAGCTGTAAGCTAACAGAGGAAATGCTACGAACTTGTGTATTCAGAGTTGCCCCGGCATCTGTGAGACATGTAACTTCTACAGCATGGACAGGAAACAACAGAATAATCCATCCAGACTGATTTCCAGTGCCTGATTTTTGAAAAATTCACATTTCTTTCTTGACTGCTGAATTGATAAATATAGCGCCTTTTTTATACATGCATGTGGGAACAGCGTGCATTTTAGATGATAGCCCTGTGTCAGTAGGGTGGGGACCTTGAGGCTCTACAGGCTGAAAATGGAGCTGTGCTTAACAGCATGTCATTTGTGGAGTGTCTCACTCAAGCCATACAAAAGCAGAGAAGACCAGTGTGTTTGTTTTCCTCCAGCTTCTTTTGGTGTGAGAGGAAGGTGAAATAGTAGTTGTCTCCCTCAGGTGGTGAGTTAGTCCTTAGAGCAGTGAAAGGAGACACCTGTTTACTCTTTGGCAGTCTCTTGCTTGCGTTTAGGAAAGGTTTTTAAAAGCTGGGACTGTTCTGACCACTTGGCTTGAGTGTACAAAGATTTCTGAAGAGCTTTACAGGTACAGAAGACTCTGTTGGTAGGTAGAAGGTACAGCACTAATATACTGAAAGACTCACCCTTTCTTAGTGTTTCAAACCTGAAATCAGCACACACTGGACACACTGCCAATCTGTGTGTGAAGCAGTCCACACCGCCACCTCCTGAAATACTCTCAAACATTTTTAAGTGGGCTCAAAATACAGGCTACTATTGAAGAGCTTCCAGCATTAGCTTTGTCTATATAGACCTCAACAGATAAACGGCTTTCCATGGATTCCTAGCTATTAAAATATTGATGAGGATTAACAATTTTTCTGCAGCATCCTCAGATCCAGAAGAAATCCCAGTATATAAAGTATCTTTGCTGTGATGATGTAAGAACTCTACACCAATGGATCAATGGCATCCGCATTGCTAAGGTAACCTCCTCTAGGCAGTCATGCACTCTTGGCATGTGTTGTTGTCATTATCTGTATAAAACCATTTACAGTTGCTTAGCAAAATATATTCTAAAACTGACTTCCCTATGTTTAACTGTTCTGAATGTGAACTGTACAGTCTTCTTACATATTTCATTCCCTAGCACAATTGTTACATTTCTTGTTATTACAAGTAATTGGACAGTAATTGGACCCCTTCCTTCTTGTTTCTGCTGCACCTCTTTGTCACATGACGAAGTTCTAACTGACATCATGGCTAGATTTTAGCCAGTTCCCTTATGGATTTTAAAAAGAAGGCTTATGGGAAAAGAAGAGAATTGAGAAAACAATTTTCTAAGATCCCCAGGCTGGCTTAGTTTATTCATTGGCCCATTTCTTGCTTGACACTCTCTCTTCTAGCATAAGTAAACTGTTTTTCTTTCTTTTGGCAATTCAGTAATAAAAAGGCAAAACGTTGGGAGGACTTGCCACTTTTGTTAATAAAATAAAATTTGCCCTGAATTTATGTTGCCTGAGCTCCTTAACAAAGAGCCTTTTGATTCTCTCTGGGGGGAAAAAAGGTGGAACAGAGAAGCCAGGTGGAGTTTGACAGTCTGAAAAGGGTACACAGCCTATACAGGTGTTAAATTTGTTTGTCATTTTGCTTAGTATGGGAAGCAACTCTACATGAACTATCAGGAAGCGTTGAAGAGAACGGAATCGGCATATGACTGGACTTCCTTGTCTAGCTCCAGTATCAAGTCAGGCTCCAGCTCATCTAGTTTGCCAGGTAATAATGTGATCTGTCTCATAATATAAAGATTTAATTACCTTTTTTATCATTGCTATCTGGAGACCTCAGGGGACTATTTCAGGAAATCAACTGTTTCTCCAAAGTCTTTTATGCTATGCTTAGTCTAAAACATACACTTTATGTTTAATATATATATATATATATATAAAAACATGTAAAAAACTATTTTATTTTATTACTTGCAGTGGTGTATGTATTTGAAACATATAGTACTTTCTTCTTCACCTCCAAAAAAGCATATTTTGCTGATACTGAGAAGAGGAAAATTCCTTTCAAATTCATGATGCCTCTGTGTTCATCTACCTGACTAAAGCAATCAAATCTGTTTTAATGGTGCATAGAGACTTGTGTGTGTAGCTCTTAAACTGCTTTTGTTGACTGAAATATATGAAATTGAAGAATGAGAAATAGTCCCTGCCCAAAGGCAAAGATCCAAACAATCTCTTCAGAGCCAAACTTTGAAAATATTGTTTCTGTTCCTGTGTCAAACTGTGTGTGTCTGCAGTAATATGCTCCTGTTTGCCTCTCAGCAGGATTGGGACTGGGTTTCTGTAGCGCATAACAGTTTAAAAATTGATGAATGGTTTATATATTCTCATTTCAATGTTCAGAGCTGACAGACACTCTGCCAGGTTATTCTGAACCTTCAGGGGCAAGTTTCATTATTGAAAACAGGTTATTGTGTGAAAGTGTTTTGTCCACTGCGGATACAGGTCAGGAAGCAATGCTACTGAATTGGAAAGGTTCAGAAAGTAGCCTGTGAAATGAGCTAAGCAAATGCAGCCTAACTGGGAAGGCACCATGTTTTTTCAACTGTGTGAAATAGCTTGCCGGGTGTAGCAGTAAATTCTTGGTTACTGACAGTTTCTCCATCCAAGCTGGGTGTTTTTCTGGTAAAGTTTCTTTTGTTGTGGGGAGCTGAGCCACAGAGCACCAGCGATGCATGTTCTGCCAGAGCTACAATGCATCCTGTGCCTAGATGGCACAGGACAGCTCTTTTTCCCCAGGACAGCTTGGGGCTACACAGAAAGCTGGTGCCAGGCTGGATAAATAGGTCTGGCAGTGGCTGCTGCTGCTGTCTTTTCAAGAGACCCTGTGGACCCAAAGCATCATCATCTGCCTTTGGTAGTTGTAGAATGTTCATCATTCCTTCTCTTCCCTTGAGGAATGGAGCAGTCAGAAGCAGACTGCTGCCTCAGCCAGTGTAGTTTGCCGGTCCTCAGCCTATGTCCAGTGTCTGTTTCTCAGGTTGTGTTGGGAAGGAGTGCTGGAGAGAGCAGGCTGTATGCATGGCATGGAATGGGGCTTTTTCCAAAGTGCAGGAGCTGCTGGGTGTTTCAGAACCTATACAGCTGCAGTGTGGTTTTACTTTGCAGCATATCTGACATGCTGTCATCTTTGTGGAGCTTCAGATTTGGTTAATACCAGGGATCTGTTGCAGTGTGTTGTTTTCCAGACAGCAACAGCTTGGATGTGAGCTAGAGCTTATGCATTAGTTAGTGGGAACAATGTCCTATGGTGGGATAACATGTTTAACAAGTGTGACCAATAAATGTCACACGGAATTGCATTATGAGCTCACTGACTTTACTGTTACATTCAGAAACATGTGCTAACTGTTTCTTAACTTTCTTCTAAACAGAATCTCAATCAAATCATTCTAATCAGTCTGACAGTGGAGTTTCTGACACCCAGCCAGCTGGACATGTCCGTTCCCAAAGCATTGTCAGCTCCATGTTCTCCGAGGCCTGGAAACGAGGCACTCAACTGGAGGAATCCAGCAAGGTAACAAGAAGACTTTAGTTTGAGAACCAACGCCCAACAAAATGTACGAGACACAGTGATACCTCTTCCATCTCTGTCTTGAGTGGGATTTCTTCTCTTTTTTTACTCTATGTTACTGACAAACACTGCCATATAATTGTTTTTTCAGGAATCACTTTTTCAGGGAATTCAGCCCTGGAATCATCTGTTCTTGCTTTTATTTGTGTGCACAGAAGCCCTCTGTCCTTTGAAGGCATGATACAGCCCTTCCCATAGAATCCTATTAACTAATGTTGAATAAAGACAAAATAAAAAGATCAGCTGTTAACAAGTGGAATGCAATTCTTTCACTAAGATCTTTCTCCAGTTAACTAGCCACATCTTTCCATTGTAAAGATGTGAGTTACTGAGACCTGAAGGCAGGTATATCTATTTAAGATGTACTTCAGTAGTTTTTACTCAATTGTTTTCTATTACATTCGGTGGAAATGGAAACAGTGGCCATAGTTATGGTCAAAGCAAAAGTACTAAAATTGACAGCAGTTGCGGATTGGGGCAGATTTGGTATCTCCTGTTGCTGGTAGAGAGTTACAAGAGATTTTAACCCGTTGGAGCCTGGGGCTCAAGTGTGTTGTGGTTTGGTTAGTTTTCTGTCCTTTCTGTGGTAGTTGACTGGTGTAGTTCCTGAGGAATACTTCCAAACACAGCACAGTTGCCACTTAAGCTGGTTTGTTGTCAGGCTCAAAGGAATTTCCAGGTTGTTCCTGAACAGCCATGACATCAGTATTATCTGCAGCAGTTTCGTGTGGAAGTACATTGGCAGGATGCTGTGAGAAGCCATCTTCACTCCTGTCAGTTTTGAATCTTTCCCAGACCCCAGGTTCATGCTAGAGAAGCAAGCTTTTTAAAACTAAGACCATGGGTCGCTACACCTGACATTGGTGCATCAGATAAATAACGGAAAATAAGACACAACATCACATTTTTAAATAAAAAAGCACATGTGGCACAATGTGAAAACAAATATGGCTGCATTCTTTGGGATTTGTAACTTTTCTGAAGTGCCTGCTGGCTTGGAAATTGTGTCGTTCTAATAGTAACGTAGTACTCAGCCCAGGAATGCAGCTTGCTAAATTGTGATTCAGATTTTTCTACTGCATGAGTGCAACACCTGGTGCATGTTCATCAGCAGGTGGCTTGTGTATGTGTACAGGCTGCATCATTTCTGCAGGAGCGGGGTAAATGCAAAAGATAGGGCACTTGAGTCTGTGTAGCTTGTATGTGACAGAGGTGAAGGAGTACTGCTATGAGAACTGAAATGCTATTCTTTCCTGAAGTTTTGGGTTTAAGGTGAAAATCTTGCTGCTATGCTCTCTGTCAGCTTTTAGAGAAAAGTTTGGAGTTTACCACAAGGGGGTCACTGTTCTTATTGAGTCCATAGTGCTGCTGGCAATTGCTCATTTAAATAAACCCCAAGAATTTGTATGGTTTCTGATTAAAACCATTTTAAAAATAAAATATTCAGACTGCTCCCCATTGAGGGCCATCCATTTTTGAAGATTTCATCCATTTGAATTCTTTTCTATCCACAAATCCAATAAAAGGTATATTGCTCCTCCTCATGAGTATCACAGGTGAACAGATTGCCCTAAAACTTCCAAAGAATCCAAATGAAACGAACCATGTAAAATTATAATTTGAAGCCATGTTAAAAAATTCTGAGTAAATTGGTGACAAATTTACCTTCAGTGAAACTACAGTACATGCTTTTTTATCCTGTACAGGTCTGGGCCAAGGAACTTCAATAACTTAATAAGTCACACTGGCAGTGAAAAATGTTAAACTGTGTGGCAAGAAAGGAAATAACAGTGTTGAAAAAAATCTAATTTACATGGAAAGGTAGTTGCAGTTGCAACATGCTTGTTGAGGCAGATTAGTCTCCAAACAGTTGTTTCAGAGGAAGTTATTTCACAGGGCTTTGGTGGCAAAGCTGGTTTAAGAAGTTCCTACAGGCAGGTTGCTGCAAGTGGCAGAATTAAGGGAGACTCGTCCAGCACGTCGCTTCCCCTTCTGCAACAGCTCTCTCCCCTCATCACCCTTGTCTCATCCCCTTCAGTAAGCAGGGCAGAACAGGGCATACTTTGGCTCAGCAGGGAGATGACATTGAGGCTGGCCAGCCAGACAGGATGATGTACCAATTGGCCAGTGGCTAACTGCTCAGCAAGTTAAAAATAGGTGAGTTCTGCCTGCTTTTCCCTCATTTACCTGGTGCCAGTGACTTCACAGTTTCTTGAAGTTAAAAATATATTGAGATTTCTAGCAGTCTGTCATTTTTGACTGAAATTTGCTAACCAATCCAAAAGCAACTGGCATAGGAAAAGAGATGGCAAACAGTTCACTTGCAGAAACTTATTTTCTTAGGAAAAACAGCTAAAAAAAAAAAAGCATAGTTGTTATTTTAAAAAATAGATACTATTATTTTTATAGGGTTTTTGAGAGTCCCAGGTATTCATAAAGATGCATGTTACAAATATGAATTGATAGTATGCAATAAGTATAATTTTTCAAGATACACAGAAGGACATCACATAGTTGTAAGGACAAACAAGGACAATGATCTGTTTCAGGGTTCTTTTATACAAAGTATCACTGAATATGTTTCTGGTTACGGAAATTTAATTTGATTCTGTGGAGATAAGAGGGGCTCCCCCACCTGAGATGCACCATACAATTTCCCTGTCCTGAGTGTTTAATTTGCTCACTGTGAAAATGAGGGTATTCAATGGATATGAGGAAAAATTCCTCTTTGTTTCAAATACATCTAAGATTAAAACCCCCACCTTTCCCAATGCAGATAATCTGTCCACCTCGTATTTTGAAAGGCTGCTGTTTGCCCAAAGAATACTGTATTCATCTGTTTACATTCTTCACAGTTGGGCAGTGAAGATCTCATTATGTCTCATTTTGCTTGTTAGATCTTGAACATGTTATTTCAAATGGGATGCTACAACAGGCATCAGAATGTGTGCTCACCGTGTGTGCTTTAAGTGACAAATTCAAGATTCTTCAAGGTCTTGCCATTCAAGGGTAGTTGTTTTGTTATGCCTTGGTCTCCCTCTCTGTTTTATGCCGCTTTTATTTTTCCTGTTGCCTTTTGCTGTCTCAGGTGTCAAAAATGAAGCTCAGCACAGCTAAGGTCAGCACACCCGTGGTGCCTTATACAGGGCACAATTAAGGTCAGGTGGTGCTACTTGAAAGTTCATTAACCTGGGTGATTGGGAGAATGGTAATTTACAGACTAACACTTGCAAGAGATCAAGATTTCTCTCCTGTTTTGTATTGTGAACACCTTGATTTAGCTCCAGAACTTTGTTACACTCTTGCCTTCCAGACCTAACACGACAGGTAGAGGCACACCCCATGTGTGTTGTAAATCACTGTTCGTTGTTTTTGACTCTAATCCTTTGGTGTTCTTCTGCACATATAGGAACTCTGTGCACCTGTGCTTAGAACAAAGCAATATGCAAACCTGCTCATACTGTGCAAAAGAGCATAACTGGGCTAATTTGTGGCAAAGTATCTATTAATGAAGTATAGGTACCCAGTGTGGTCAGTTGCCCTGTTGGTATTGCATTTCTAATGCATGTTTCTGTGCTACAGTGTGAAATTCACAACTTGGCTTGTAGCCAAACCACTTTGTATTAGGAGGTTATTTGTAAACTTGAGTAATGCAATTATCTTTTTAATTTTTAACAGGAACATAGGCTTACAGTTTTAGAGAAACTATTTAACTTGAGCAAAACCCAACGTTGCCTGCTGCTTTCCCATTACTCCTTCCCTTAGTTTTTCCCTGTCTTCCCTTTCTTTTTCTGCTTAGCAAAATAGTTGCATGTATAGCTTTTCTTTCCCAAGCTAACTTCGTTTTGCTTTCCTTCTGGGGATATTTTCCTAGGAAACGTCAGTTCTCCCTCTTTTTCCTCATTTTTTCCTTGCCAGTCTTGGATATCAGAGCATATGGAGTGGAATGATCTCAGCAGTATTCCTGTCTAGAACTCGCTTTTCACGTGTTTTAGAGCAGTTGAGCATTTCTGCATTTTGTAACATCAAACAGTGTAAGGCCTGAGCTAACTGACGTAAAGGCCAGAGAGATGCTCTGGGAGGCCATGTATGGTTTAACTCGTAAGTCTTAGGAGCTGAGGAGATGTCCGCAGGGTCTCTTGCTCTGACTGTTGTCCTCTGCCACGGCCTGTGGTGCTCTGGGAAGTGCTCTGGTTGGGTCATTATACTTGCCCAGGGGACTAGCGATTCCCACTGGGTACAGCGGCCTGCCCTGCAGAAGTGACAAGGCTGGTGTGTTTTCTTCTGGACTTTCAGCCTAGCTTGGAGTAGACCTGGCTCCACTGATTCTTGCCAGCTCCCCTCCCTGCCTGCCCGGTCAGACTGCACGGTCCAGGCTTGTCAATGTATGGAATTGTCTCTTGCTGCGTTGTTTTGCTAATACTTCTTGCATGCTGTAATCTGCCACTTAATTTTTAATGACAGGCACATTTAGACCTTGACTTTGTAATCTCTTTGTCTCCTTCTCTCCCTCCCTCCCTCTCTATCTTTTTTCCTTTTTTCCCTTTCCACTTTCACTAAAAATCCCATCCCAATAGGCCCGAATGGAGCCTGCAGGTCGGCCCTTCATGTCTGTCGCACCTCCTGTGTCCCCACAGACAAAAGTGGCAACCCCCTACACAGCATCTCAGC